TCGCGTTTCCGGTAGCATCCTATCATGCCTTCACTATTACAATTTTTAACGTGTTTATTTAGATATAGTGCGGTGTGCTCCCTTGAGCGCACAAGGATGAAATGGGGGGAGAACTACAGTTAAGGTGTGAAGGTTTCATGTCGCTCAATGTAGCACACCACACTATGCACAAATAAACACGGTAAAATTGTAATAGTGAAGGCATGATAGGATGATACAGGAAATGCGAATAACACAGGGCAGAAGGGGAGATACCACAATTGTTTATCACACGTCTGGTCTAATGATCGGCTTCACTTGTCTCTTCGACGAGTTGTTGAATGGTGCTAAGAATGGCGATACTCACTGACGATGCCGACTACGATGCTGGCAAAACATTTGGGAATGTACCACGTCCACGGTTCAACTTTGGAAATGATCATGCAAACAATGGACTCTGGACTAGATGTGTTCCTCTAAGTCTTCCTACCAATATGATCATGTTGCGAAAACAAGGTCAAACAACCTCTTTAATATAAAAATGTCTCCTCCTACTTGGAGATTATTCCTTTAAATGGGTGCTTTTTCCATTTCTCATGGCATCTTTATTATCCTCACTTTTAAGGTCTATTTTTCAGAGCACGACAGGGCTTACTTGCTTTAAGAAGCATGGATCAGGAAGGTATAACCCTTGACTTGGAGGAAGATTCTAGGGCAACAAAGTGCCTATTTCACAGGCTTAGCGATCCGATTACGAATCCAATTGCGGACGCTGAGAAGACTCCCGAGAGGCCTGGATAAGAAAACCTTTTGCGAAGCAGGCTTAAGCGGAATTGAATATTATCTGGAGGTATATCACGTTAATGTGGACAAAACTCTACTATCAGTCTTTAAATCACCTGAGGGGGCATGGGCTAAGTAAGTTTCTTAGTCAGGACTTACTGACGGTTTGGAAAAATACTCTCGCAGAGAATGTCACAAGAATTTGCATACCCATGTGTTGGTAATTGCGCGTATTCCAGCACATTGGGATGCATACAATAGTTGTGGACACAAAGAAGGCATGCATTGAAAATACCCATTCGCCGACAAATGTGAATCTTTTAAGTAAGCTCTTGCATTTTTGGTAGCCAAATGTAAAGGTGAGGTATAACCAAGAAAAAAAATCTCGAGAGAATGGCTTCTTTTAGTAGATGTATTTTATTTCTAAGTAGGTGATAGAGGCTATCAGATCATATATATGAAATTTATTCACCCTCTTTCGTTAAGGTGATGAAGGACGGGTATTTGAATCTTACCACAATGATAAAAGTAAACATTGAGTTTACAAATGGAACTCATGGAAGTGTGACGTAGCTATTGACATGTCAAGATCATATGCTGTACTAGCACAACCCAGGTTGGAGTCCCTCTGAGGGTGCTGAGGATACCTAGGCGAGGTCGAAACGAAAACCCACTTCAGCCTAGAATAGAATACCTTATAGGAAGCAATGATATGTGAAATTCAACAGAAATATGAGGCCTACTCGTTCATTGTGGGAAAATTCAACTGACAGTCTTAAAGTACCTTAAGATTTCTTTCAGTGGATGCCTAAAGATAAATTTTGGACAGTCCTTTGTGCATTATTATATGGAAACACCAATTCCGATAGGCTTCGCGTATATGAAGATCAAGATTGCGTGACCTTTTGTTGGGTCACTATCTCCTTTAGTTGTATAGTGTTTGTTTGACCTCGCTTTCGCAACTTATTCGGAGCAACAGGGAGACCTTGTGGAACGTGCCTAGTTCTGCGTCCTCTGAAAGAGCGACTTGTATCTTTGACCAGTTT